TCTTGACATTGGACAGAAAGTAGTTGCACGTGATTATCGAGGTAAAGATAAATGGATAGCTGATGAAGTTACAAAAGAATATGGTCCACTATCTTATGACATAAGGACACAGGAGGGTGGAACTTGGAAGCGGCACATTGAACAACTTCGAGAAACTATGGCTGATGAACAGACTGAGGAGATTATTATGCCAACACAAAGAGTACCACAGTTTGGAGAACCAGCAGCAGTTCCGGTGATGGAGGCACAACGTGAAACAGACATGGAAATGAACAATGAACAATGTGTGACTGTAAATGAAAGTAAACTTAGACGATCTAAAAGGGTAGTTAAAAAACCTAAACGATTGATAACAGAAATGTACTGAAGACGCACACACATTCAAATGTTGAATTCAATTTTCAATTTATTGAGACATCACAATAGAGATTCATATCACACAATATAATAATAATAGCTGATAACTTTGATAGGTCTATAACGTTTATTGAGCTCAGATTAAATTTCACTTATATACAGTAACGATCGATACTCAAACTAATAGTTTTAAAATAGAGTATACCTGAGCCATTTGTTAATTTAGATTTTCTTATGAGATTAGAATAGTGTTGTTTTGAAAGTTTATATATATATACTATGAAAATAGATTCATCAGATAATTCTACAATATAATGTTGCACACCTAAATGTTTAAACCACTAACAGATTACACAGGGGAGAGTTGTAATGTATTCATCCCCAATAAACAATGTTTGCTGCCACCTATGTTTTACAATAAATACTGAACGGAGAAAATGGCAATCGTCTCCTGTCAGTCCGTCGTGTTGTGACATAAAGAGTCATAAAACATTACAATAAGGTTCCCGTGTACTACCAGTAGAAGTAAAAACAAACAACACATTTTCATAAGTAATCGTTATTTTTATTATAAGGTTCCCGTGTACAACCAGAAGTAAAAACAAACAACACATTTTCATAAGTAATCGTTATTTTTATTATTAGGTTCCCGTGTACCACCAGTAGAAGTAAAAACAAACAACACATTTTCATTAGTAATCGTTATTTTTATTATTAGGTTCCCGTGTACCACCAGTAGAAGTAAAAACAAACAACACATTTTTATTAGTAATCGTTATTTTTATTCCCTGCACCACCACCTAACCCGCGGTCAACATTGCACTGTACAGTACAGTGACATCCAATTCACGCTTTGATTATACACTACACGGCGTTCCATACAATAACCCTTATTTGGGCAATGAATATCATACGGCCGAACAAGTGTACGGCCGAACCGGTCCTACACCATCACTACGTGCCACCGGTTTTTGGCCTAGGCTAGTATATTACGAATATGCATTTATTGCCAAATATATCTAGATACATTTCATGTAGGGTCTGCTTAGATTATTATACTGTATCATAAAATAAGGCTAGAAAAAAAAGGGAGTTCACCCTCAAACACGCCTACAAATCACGCCTACTCAGTTACTGTGTAGGCCTGGAGAATCCCTTGCTACTAGGCCTAAGGAGAAAATCAAGACCATTAGGCAAATAATATGCTGGTACAGTAGTTTGTTTTCTGTATTGACCTACGCCATTGTTGAATTTCAAATATACTACTCGCTATTTCAATTTGATGCTTTAGAATGTTTATTGATAAGCATAAGTGAACCTACTGTATTATTAAAACACCACACGGAATCAGGCCTAGATTCATTCTCTAAATTCATAATTCACTTTTAATATTGCAATCGTATAACAGATTGGATAATACAAGATATTGAAAAAGAAATGGAAACAAGAAATGAAAGTAAAGCACACAACCAGCAGAACAACGACTTTCAAAAGTGTCAAAATGAAATGGGTATTTTTGATTCCTGCTTTTCAGGCATAGATTACTTCTTGATAAAAAAGAGGTGAAGAGGCAATGTATGGAAAAGTGCTTTTATCTTCAAAATTCATGTGCATATAAATTAAACAATTTTTTCCCATTTTGTTTAGATAATATTTTGGAAGTATACTCCAATTTCCCTTATCAAAATTTTATTCAGCCAGCTTGCTTTTGAAGAATCATACACACTTCAAAAGGCTCGTAAATTTAGGCATTCATATTTGGTTTTTCCAATAATAATTTTCCTTGATTTTGTATCAGGCTTATTATTCCATAAAAACTTGTAAAATATTGAATCTATCTCTTTAAAAACGAAAGATGGTGCTGAGATAATATTGAATCTATCTCTTTAAAAACGAAAGATGGTGCTGAGATAGAAGTTGCTAAGTATGTTAATTGAAGTAAGCGTAGAGTATTGATAATCGTTACTCTACCTAACAAGTTAAGGTTTTCCATGACGTAATTAAATTTTTTTATTTTTTTGGTCCATATTTTTTTTCCCCATACTCAGTTCCTCTGGTGTATGCCCTTTGTTAGTACAGAAAATATAGCATGATTTGCACAAGAAATGAATTCATTTTTAATCATTTTTTTTTCTCTTTCAGGCCAGTGAAAATTGTTCGTCACACTTACTTGGCAGAGGCATGTGTGTGTAGTATTATGTGTACATCTTGCTACTAAATGATTTTAAAACAAGATAGGCTGTAAGTGTAAACTGATGATGGACAGCCAAGTTGATTTGAATGCAACATGGAACACTGCTGATTCTAGTGAGCCAGTTTCAACCAGGAAAGGTAACCAATCTGATGATCATTCAAAACAATTATTTCTAGACAAACAGTGCTTTTCTGTTGTTGACTGTGATGAGAAATGGAAGCTCCCAGACAGCTCTGTGATGAACCCTCCACAGGAAGTGATCAATCAGGGTATTGATAGCGTACAGATCAAAGAAGAAGGGCCAGATGATTACACTATTCCAGAAATTAATGTGCCCAATGGCCAAATGTCTGTGAATGATCTTTCTGATTTGGGGCATAATGCTGTGTCAGGGGTCATGAATCATGACAGTAAATTTGAACAGGTACAGCAGGAATTGCCATCCTTAGGGCAGGAACTGATGATGCCCTCCTCATACCCACCTAGAATTCAACCAATCACATACCAGGGAACTTCCAACGGTTCAAATTATTGTGCAGAATGTGGTAAAACTTTTACATGTAATCGCAGTTTCCGTAGACATATGTCCGTCCACACAGGAGCCAGGCCTTTCCATTGTAAAGACTGTGGAAGAGCCTTTTCCAGAAAGGATAGTCTACTTGCACACGAGAGACGGCATCGTAGAAAGACAACACATTTCCGATATCAGTGCCAACAGTGTGGAATCAGTTTCTTAAATAGTTTTCAGTTAAAGACTCATGAGCAACAGCATACATCGCCAGTAAGTGCTTCTGATCAAAATGAAGCTCAAGTAGAAAATGCCATTGTCACTAAGCCCCAAGGCATTGCAGCCTCTAGTCCATACATTTTACCAGAACCAACACCCACAACAAGTAGCTATGAAGACATGTTGGAGACTATGATCAATCAAGCACCTCAAGTTAGCATCTCATCTGACAAGAAGCTACATCGATGTCCATTTTGTCGGAAGCTTTTCACTAAACAATATGCTATGAATTTACACATGAAGACCCATATGGTTATGTTCAATTGTGAATATTGTGGGAAAGTGTTTCGATTCCGGCGCAACAAACAGATCCACATTCTAAAATTTCATCATAAACTACAGTGTGTTCACTGCCAGAAAAATTTTCCTAACCCAGATTCTCTGAGAAGTCACCAGCTTCTCCACTGCAGCAGTGCCTTCAATATGAATGAGATGCTTTCCGCTTATAGTGGTCAGAATCAAATGAAGTCATATGATACCTCTGATCCAAACATGTACTGCAAATGCGGAAGCTCTTTTCTGAATAAAACTGACTTTCAGAAGCATACTGATGTCTGCAAACAACAAACCACATCAATTCAGAGTTCCAGTGGCTGCTTCTACTATACATCACCTGATGGCAGCGGGAGACTGGACTCAGAGAATTCACTTTCTAGTGGACAACAAACTAGTGAGGTTGGTAAACCTATTAATTTCTGTTATAATTAAGATTAATTATTCATTCTGTCCTAATTAATGGCAAATCTTTGCAAAGAATATTTATGAAATCATTCTAATTTAACAAATTATTTTACCTTTATTTTTGCATTTTAGGTTTGTTCAATGGAAAATACAATTGAGAGTTATGATAGTTCAGAGGTATGCAATCCAGTGCTGCAGTGTAATGTCTGCACTTCAAGGCTAGAAAAGCCAAGAACCTTGCCTTGCACCCACTCGTTCTGCCATGATTGCCTTGAGAATTGCCTGGACAAGTTAAAGTGTACCTTATGCTGTCCAACATGTCAGTTAGTTGTTTTGGTTCCAGATGGTGATTTAGCACATCTGCAAGCTAACCAGATGATCAGTACTTTGTTATCGGAAGTCCAGAATTCAGAGCAACAAATGCATCCTCTTTGTATTGTATGTGATGTGAATGCTAGTCATCACTGCCAGCAATGTGATGCCTTTATCTGTATTAAATGCTCTGCAGCACATCTTAAGCTACCTGCCACTAAAGACCACACTCAAATCTCTTTGACAGAGTATAACACTAAGGATCCAAGAGAAAGAATGGCAGCGGCAGTAGTCATGTGTAAGGAGCATGATAGTCCATCACAGTTTTTCTGCAGCAGCTGTCACAAACTAATTTGTGTTGGATGCACACTGGTGGATCATCCGAAAGGAAGTGAACATGAGATCACAGATCTTAGCTCTGCCTTTGAATCTTTTTGCACCGTCACTGAACCAATGATAAGTGAATGTGAAGAACTTGAGAAAAAGTTGAGCTCTGCAATGAATGAGATAAAGCCAATACTTCAAATTGAGCATCAGATACAATATAAGTGTAGAGAGTCAATCCAGGCATATGTTGCAAAATTAAGGGCAGCTTTGGACAAACTACAAGATAAGTTATTACTTGAAGTCGATGAATTAACCACTGCAAAACAGATGGCCATTGACAGTCAATTAAATTCTCTAAAAAGAGAACTTGAAGATGTCAAAGGCACAAGGCTTCTCGCAAACCAATTGGTCACCAGTCCCAATAAAGCTATGGCGCTAACATCAACCTTTGATGTATCCAAACACCTTAAAGACATTCTAAACAAATCGCCACCAACCTCAAATTTTGAGGCTAAAAAAGTTCTAATGTTTACACCCTGTGAAGATCTCTTAGATGTGATTCTGGAGAAAGGAATTGGGTCTTTGAAGGAAACAGAGGAGTCAGAATCTGAACTAAAAGAATGCATAATTATAGAATAAAATGGCACTGTAAGCATACTCGGTGTATTTTATATTATAATATTGGAGCAGTTGTTGCGGTGTTCACTGTATAAAAGAACATCGTATTTAAATGTTAATCTAGCTTGTTGCGAAATCTATTTTATTTTTGCTATAAAAACAGGATCTGCATTCAATAATTCGTTAAACTTTACCATATGAAGCTGGAGATGTATCCCGTTTTTCCTGAATATAATGAAGATGGTTTTATGAAGTAAATTGCATATTTTAAAAAAGTAAAGTACAGTACTTACAGTGGCTTGTAAATTGCATTATTCATTACAGTATGTTTATGTAAAAAAATGTTTAATGTATTTGAAAGTGTACAATGGAGTAGCTCCTTCCTAAAAAATTAAATGAAATATTTTACTAAAAATAATAAAAATTTTAATGCTACTAATAAAGTCAGTCATCATGAAAGATAATTTATTTAAAATTGATTACTTAATTATGAATGAAATTAATTATAAACGTAAACAATTGGCTTGTGAAATCGAAGAATTATATTACCGTAAACCAATGTTCTTTGTAAGCGCGTGGAACAGCAGTAAAGCTGTGTACTTCAATTGAAAGGCCATTGGTTAATCTGAATCTCAATGCATGTTTGTGTCTGTCAGGAATCAAATTTGTGTCTACACGAAGGTGGGGTGGTGCATACCCCTCCAAAGAATGCCTCTGATACGCTGAGAATGTCTCTCCAAACAGAAGTTTGGTACCTTGGTACTAATGTAAGGATTACTAGTTTGTAACATTATGAAATTTATAATACTCACCAGGGAGTTATTAATATATGCTTCCTGCTTGATGCAGGTTTCCTAAGACATCGCAAGCAACAAAGAATCTAACCCATCTTTTGTATATTTAACCATTTTTTCCAGAAATCACTTCTTCCAACTTGGTACCCCTGTTATTGCAATGACCAGGGTAATGCGAAGCACATTTGGTTCTTAGCATGTGGTTTTATATAATGCATGTTATTTTTGTTTAAAATTATACATAAGCCTACAGTGTTAAAAGTAAAGTGATTGCAAAACGCTGGTTTATCAAAATGAATGTTTCATTTCATTTTAAAGGGCTTTTAATCATTTTGTACAGGCACATCAACATCAACACAGTCTGCATGGAAAGTGAGTGATTAAAATTCAGTTTGTTCCATTGATATAATAGAGTACTGCTATAAGTAGCATAAAAGATTTACTCATTGTATGAAAAACACACTCTGTCATCAAACAATGGACTTATATTAACAGCTCTTTTTAAAACCTGGTTTCCATAAATTGCTACACCTTCGCTAAAGCGTTTTCATTGCAATTGTAACACTGCGTAGCTGTCCCCGTGACATAAGGAAAGGCTCACTTCACTTGACCAATGAGCGTCGCCGAAAGTTGTCGATAAGAACGTGAAGCGATTTTATGTAAATCAGGCTTAAGTAATGGAGCAGTTAAAAGTGGTAAGGAATACAGTGGTGAAGACGGCCCATTGTGAAGTAGTGTTGGGACTCAGTGGCGGATTCAAGCTGTTTTTCCGGAGAGGTGCAGAAAGCCATTCGAGGACGTATGGTTCAAGGGGAAAGATTAAGGTGTTTCCACCTACAGTGCGTTTCAGGGATACCCTGATAGCTCCAGAGATTCAATATCTAGATTTCCCATTTGGTTAGAGTTAATTTTGGTGGGTTCAAGCAGGGAGACGCGCTCGATCGCCTCTTTTGCCACACGCATGCATTGGATTGGATTGAATTGCTTTTGTTATGATACACACCAACAGGGGCGCATTATAGGGGCCGCGCCGGCCCTGCCCCCACCCCGCACCCCTTGTTGGAAAGGAAAAATAAAAAGAAAAAAATTATCGCCCAAAGCGCCTAACAAGTTCTTTTCAGGCGTCTAGAACACCGGAATTTCACGGCATGCCCCCGGACCCCTAGTAGTGTTCCCACTTTTCGGACATTTCTTGATCCGACCACCACTATTTCAAATTCCTGGATCCGCCACTGACCAAGAATAACCCACGAAAGTCATGAGACTTATTCCAGTTTTTTTTTTCTTATGGTGAATTGGACACCGGGAGACAATCCCCTACTTTTTTCGAAGATTGTACTGAGTCTTTTAATATGCACATGGGCCGTAAACCAACGGCTTAATCTCATCTGAAAGACGCTTTTTGATTTAAAACTTGCATTTCAGCCCTCAACTGTAACACAACGAGAGCAGCAATTTCCACAGTTCAGAACGCACACAGTGGCTACCACCAGTTTAGCCGACTGAGCTAGCTGGTCTCATAAATGTGTAGGCCTTGAGAATTTTCACCCTAAAAACTCGATGGAGAAGTTTCTTGGGGGAATTCCTCAGTAATGAATTACAAGACTACAATGCAATGTCATAAAATGATATACAGAGACTGTCCAACCATACTGTCATCATATATTTTCAATACAAATACTATAAATTATCTTCTATGTGACTATTCTGCCATACAATAAAGATGTATTAAATAGTCGTACATCCTGAGACAACTACGGTATTTAACTGTATTTACTGTATACTGTCTGTAGGTTTCTCGGTGCATCGTAAATCGGCCTACCTGGGCTACATGCTTATCATTGGTGTATTGGTTGAAACTTGGTCTGCCGATTTAATATCAATCATTATAGTTCGTAATTTACACTATAGACAATACAAAAATGTTTAATATAATTTTTCTCACCCATGCTGTATATTTATATTTGGAGAACTGTGTACAGTATACTGTAGTTTCTTCCGGGCCTCTTTATTTTGTTGAAGGCGTATCGAGGATCGTATTCATTTTTCCTGTTATTCTATTGGGCCTATATGCCCAAAGTTTAAACTTGATGTACTGTTGTCATCTGACTCTACCTATGCTAATTGCTAATTGCATTCAATTCTAGAAGTACGAGTTATGTTTGTTCTACTGTATTTACTCATGATTTACTGTACGATGACAGTCAATTCTTGACCTTATACCACTTTAATGAGAAGGGCTGCCTATTTTAAATTGTCGATACTAGGTGTAGGCCTATTATAAAAAGGAATGTTTTATTAATGGGAATGATAATGTTTCAACACATGAAATTATTCTCATTGTGCACTCATAAAAAGTCATCATTTAATGACCAACGTTCTTTAAATAAACTATTTGCTATTGCTAACAATGCTAGAATAGCAACGCGTGCTCTTGTAATTATGTCATGCATAAGATTGTGTTTTACCAACGGGCCCACCCCCCCCCCCCCCCATTCCCCCGTACATAAACTTGAATTGGACGAAGAGAAGACGACATCTGTAAATAAAATTTAATATTTAAAGATCCAGTATAATACCTGAGCCAAGCATGCATTTACTTAGTGTAGCCGTACCCTTTTATACGCATGTGCAAAGACATTCATTCATTCATTTATTCATTCCATCATCCATTCTTTCATTCATTCATTCATTCATTCATTCATTCCATCATCCATTCATTCATTCATTCATTCACTCATTCATTCATTCATTCATTCATTTTTATATTTAGACAACGACGTAAACAAGTGAATACAAAACGATTAAAGGAAATTAAAAAAAAAAACCAAAAAAAAAAAAAAAAACCCAATAAATAACTTGAGTTGGCTAGGATTAACAAAAGTGTGCAAAACACTGGCACTCAGGCCTTTATAATTTTTGAACATAGAGAATTTTTCCCCAACAGTAATCTGAGCATGCAACCTTGTATCTTTTACATTATTAAAAAATATATTCGAAAAACTTGTCGTCAGTAGGCCAATGTACTTTATTGCTCCTGGTGTCAGCATGGAGGTATAATACCTCCAGGGTACATTCCAATTTCAAACTGTCTCTTATACACATCTAGATGTGTATAAGAGACAGGTTATAAGTAGCATAAAAGATTTACTCATTGTATGAAAAACACACTCTGTCATCAAACAATGGACTTATATTAACAGCTCTTTTTAAAACCTGGTTTCCATAAATTGCTACACCTTCGCTAAAGCGTTTTCATTGCAATTGTAACACTGCGTAGCTGTCCCCGTGACATAAGGAAAGGCTCACTTCACTCGACCAATCAGCGTCGCCGAAAGTTGTCGATAAGAACGTGAAGCGATTTTATGTAAATCAGGCTTAAGTAATGGAGCAGTTAAAAGTGGTAAGGAATACAGTGGTGAAGACGGCCCATTGTGAAGTAGTGTTGGGACTCAGTGGCGGATTCAAGCTGTTTTTCCGGAGAGGTGCAGAAAGCCATTCGAGGACGTATGGTTCAAGGGGAAAGATTAGGGTGTTTCCACCTACAGTGCGTTTCAGGGATACCCTGATAGCTCCAGAGATTCAATTTCTAGATTTCCCATTTGGTTAGAGTTCATTTTGGTGGATTCAAGGAGGGAGACGCGCTCGATCGCCTCTTTTGCCACACGCATGCATTGGATTGGATTGAATTGCTTTTGTTATGTGACACACCAACAGGGGTGGATTATAATGCAGAAGTTTTTTGGGGAATTCCTCAGTAATGAATTAAAAGACTACAATGCAATGTCATAAAATGATATACAGCGACTGTCCAACCATACTTTCAACATATATTTTCAATACAGTACTATAAATTGTCTTCTACGTGACTATTCTGCCATACAATAAAGATGTATTAAATAGTCGTACATCCCGAGACAACTACGGTATTTAACTGTATTTACTGTATACTCTCTGTAGGTTTCGCGGTGCATCGTAAATCGGCCTACCTGGGCTACATGCTTATCATTGGTGTATTTGTTGAAACTTGGTCTGCCGATTTAACATCAATCATTATAGTTCGTAATTTACACTACACAATACAAAAATGTTTAATATAATTTTTCTTATCCATGCTGTATATTTATATTTGGAGAACTGTGTACAATATTACTGTAGTTTCTTCCGGGCCTCTTTATTTTGTTGAAGGCGTATCGGGGATCGTATTCATTTTCCCTGTTATTCTATTGGGCCTATATGCCCAAAGTTTAAACTTGATGTACTGTTGTCATCTGACTCTACCTATGCTAATTGCTAATTGCATTCAATTCTAGAAGTACGAGTTATGTTTGTTCTACTGTATTTACTCATGATTTTCTGTACGATGACAGTCAATTCTTGACCTTATACCACTTCAATGAGAAGGGTTGCCTACTTTAAATTGTCGATACTAGGTGTAGGCCTATTATAAAAAGGAATGTTTTATTAATGGGAATAATAATGTTTCAACACATGAAATTATTCTCATTGTGCGCTCATAAAAAGTCATCATTTAATGACCAACGTTTTTTAAATAAACTATTTGTTATTGCTAAGAATGCTAGAATAGCAACGCGTGCTCTTGTAATTATGTCATGCATAAGATTGTGTTTTACCAACGGGCCCACCCCCCCAATACCCCCGTACATAAACTTGAATTGGACGAAGAGAAGACGACATCTGTAAATAAAATTTAATAATTAAAGATCCAGTATACCTGAGCCAAGCCTGCATTTACTTAGTGTAGCTGTACCCTTTTATACGCATGTGCAAAGACATTCATTCATTCATTCATTCCATCATCCATTCATTCATTCATTCATTCACTCATTCATTCATTCATTCATTCATTTTTATATTTAGACAACGACGTAAACAAGTGAATACAAAACGATTAAAGGAAATTAAAAAAAAAAACCAAAAAAAAAAAAAAAAACCCAATAAATAACTTGAGTTGGCTAGGATTAACAAAAGTGTGCAAAACACTGGCACTCAGGCCTTTATAATTTTTGAACATAGAGAATTTTTCCCCAACAGTAATCTGAGCATGCAACCTTGTATCTTTTACATTATTAAAAAATATATTCGAAAAACTTGTCGTCAGTAGGCCAATGTACTTTATTGCTCCTGGTGTCAGCATGGAGGTATAATACCTCCAGGGTACATTCCAATTTCAAACGCTTTTGAAAACGTATTACAGTTCTTAAAAATCAATTGAAGTCTTTGTATAGGCATTTTTTTTTGTTTGATCTGTGATTTGACGTATTTCAATCAACTATAGGCCTATTCAAATTTGCCTATTGTTCAGTTTTTCCCCATGTATCGTCTCGAATCATAGATTTCAAATCTACGTCACTGCGTATGTTAACAAAAAACACGACATGCTAACATCCCGGCCACTATAAGCCTCATTTCTATCCGATTTGCGTAATTGAACTTACAGCTATTCGTACCACCGTATGACGCACTAATGCGTTTTGAAAAAAAACAGCAATGAAGCATTGGGGGCACACTTTTTGAAACTCTACTATCGTCGGGTAAGGAATACGTTTTACATTGTCTTTACTGTAAGTAATGAGGTTTTCTATTATTTTCAGTTTTTGACTTTTCAATATGTACGACCAGTAGAGATAATTGTAAATATTACTGTGCCCTGTTTTATGTTCCATGGGCTGCGACCACCACTTGTGGTGTTATGGTGCCTCTGTTGCTGTAGCAGCCCTTGAGTCGTTTGTGCCAATAAAATAAATTAAATGGAACCAAAGATGCGTTACTTATTTTAATGTTTACCACGGATAATCTGAATTGATTTAGGAAGCTAATATCTAAGTTGGTAGAAAGAGAATCCCCAATCTACAACAAGAAGTTTTAAACATCCACCGATATTATTAGTTATTATAAACAATTATTGCTACCAAGGTACCTACTTTTAAAGATGCTCTGATGTCATTACAAGGGCTAGGCATAGGGCTATGTATGATTAGACAATATTATGTGTATCAGCCACATCATGGTATTTCATCTTTCTTCGACATATAGGGTAGAGACGGGGAGCCTAACTTCTCTCTGCCTTTTTCATTTTGATTTAAATAAATTTAACGATGGTTGGGGTAAAGGCTTTACTAATGGATGTAGGTCTACAGAGAACAGAGAAAAGAAAGTAAACATAAGCGAATAGAAATAATTAGGATCTTGTATGCATCTTGTCTTTTTTTCAACAAGTTCTTGCGTATCTGTGATACGCATGACCTTGATTAAGTGTTTGATTAAAAAATATTACCAGAGAAAAGATATTGTCAGGTCAAGATCAGGTTATCTTGCTATTGGTAAACATGTAGCACAATGCTATCCTGTCGCATGAGTAAATGTTAATTGTATAGATTTCTATTTATACAAGAAGCTTTACATTTAAGTCCAAATTTTTATTTCTTATTTTATTTATTATTTAATTTCTTAATACTAGAGTTATTAAATAAAAAATAAATAAATGAAAATAAAAACATTTATAACTAATAATAATACAGTGAAACTACAATAATTAAAATGATAATAATAATAATAGTTAATAGTAATAATAATAATATTAATAATAATAATAATAATAATAATAATAATAATAATAATAATAATAATAATAATAATAATAATAATAATAATAATAATAATAATAATAATAATAACAACAACAATAACAACAATTAACACCTGCGTGAGAACGCCCGATCGGTTAGCGCTAACCGTTTTGCGGTATCCGGATACCGCTAACAGTTAGCAAGCGCTATCGGTTAGCAAATTGAGGGCGTTTCTTTTATCAACCAATCACACGTACGCGTTTACAATTTCCAGTTTCTTATTGGCCAGTGATTAGATCATCATATTGTTGGTATCCGGATCGGGATTTTCTCGCATGGACGCACGGCAGCTAACGGTTAGCAGGATCCGGATCCTGCTAACCGTTAGCCGTTTGAGAACATCCAATATTAAAACACGCAAACACGTGCTTTTGTGGGAAAACACATGTGTTTGTAAGACGCGCGCGTATTTCTAGCGCTGTTCTGATTAGTCAGTTGTTAAGTTTGATTGACACTCCGGAAAGGTCTATTGATGAGCAGTTTAAAGATTTTCCAACTGACACACAGACTTCCAAACTGTTATAAAATACCTTATTTCATTGTATGAATAGTTAGGTTAGTATTTTATGTTTAAAATATACTATTCCCTTATCCCGTAGACTTGGTTTCGTTGAGTATCGTTAAGCTTGTGTATTATAGGCCTATGTTTGTCTCTGTCTGTTTTTTTCTGTTTATATAGGTCTATACAATGTGTCCTATTGGTTATGATTTCCTAATATCATATTACGTTTTTCTTTGTTATTCTAAAATTTTTTTCAGATTTTTTTTTTCTGTATCCTTGGGTATTCGTTTTAATATTGTTTTGACATATATCACGTGACGTTTCAGATTTGTTTCACTGCACCCAGTTGTTGTCAATGTTTTCAGTTTTACCTTTCTCCGTACCAACAGGTCAAATGAATAGGCTTGATTTAAATAATCCTACATTATCTTTTGTAAATTTGTGCCACGTTATGATCTGGAAAATAACGCAATATGAGCAATTTATTCAATATTTAATAATTTTTGTTGCTCTTCCAGGACTGTGGACATTGAATTAGATTTGGCAGAGGGGCCTACTATGTATACTTTTACTGATACATTTTGAGACAAGGTAGACTGTATTTGTAAATTGAAGATGGAAGGGCAAGTCGAAATAAGTCCAACATGGAACACTGTTTATTCTAGTGAGCCTGTTTCATCAGGGAATGTTAATCAATCTGACGAACAATGCTTTCCAACTGTTGACTGTGAGGAGAAATGGAAAATCCCAGGGAGCTCAGTGGTGACGTTTTCGCAGAAAGTAAGCAGTCAAGAGATCGATAGCTTACATATTAATGATGGGCAAGATGATTACACACTTCCAGGAAATAATGTTCCTAATAACAATATTGCAATGAATAATCTATCAGGTTTTACTCGAGAGTTAGGTCACAATCATGTACCCGGTGTATATTCCGGGGGTAATCTTGGACAGGCACAGCGGGAATTGCCAGCCTTAATGCAGGAGGAACTGGTGATGCCGTACGCATACTCGTCCAGAGCACAACCAATTACAAAGAAGGGACATTCCAGTGGGTCAAATTATTGTGCAGAATGTGGGAAAACTTTCACAAGCACACGCAGTTTCCGTAGACATAAGTCGATCCACACAGGAGTAAGGCCGTTTAAATGTAAAGACTGTGGGAGAGCCTTTTCCAGAAAAGATAGTGTACTTGCACACGAGAGACGGCATCGTAGAAAAACAAGTCATTTCCGATTTCAGTGTCTACAGTGTGGAATTAGCTTCTTGACTATTTTTCAGTTAAAGACTCATGAGCAGAAGCATACATCACTAGCTAGCTCTTCTGGTCAAAATGTAGCTCAAGTGGATAATGCCAGTTTGAATGACCCTCAAGGGTTTTCGATACCTAGTCCATACACATTACCAGATCCTAGAAACTCAACGAGTAGCTTTGGAAACATGTATCAGACTATGGTCAGTCCAGCGCCTCCAGCTAGTATCTTGTCCGACCGAAAGGTACATAAATGCCCATTTTGCCGGAGGCTCTTCACTAAACAATATGCTATGAATTTACATATGAAGACCCATATGGTTGTGTTCAATTGTGAATATTGTGGGAAGGTATTTCGATTCCGGCGCAACAAACAGACCCACATTCTAAAATTTCATCATAAACTACAGTGTGCACAGTGCCAGAAAATCTTCTCAAACACGGATGCACTGAGAAGCCACCAACTTCTCAAGTGCAACTTTAACGTGAATGAGTTGCTTTCACTTTATAGTGGCCAGAATCAAATGAAGTCATATGATACGTCTCATACAATCGTGCATTGCAAATGTGGAAGGTCTTTTTTTAATAAGCTTGACCTTAAGGAGCATTCTGATATTTGCAAACATCAAGCTGATGACAACGGGAGGGTGAACTCGGAGAATTCACCCTCTAATGGACAACAAACAAGTGAGGTTGGTAAACCATTTTTTCTCGCTGATCAATGGTCATTAATTTTCTCTCTTTTTGTACAACTTAACATATCATAAATAACTTAATTAACATTCTGTTTTACAACTTCATGAATAACACGTCATGAATTAGCAATTTTTCAGTTATTTTGGAAAAGAAAAATGATTCAGTTATTTTGGAAAAGAAATATGATTTGTATAAATAAAATATGCGTTTTTGTTAACTTTTAAAATGTAAGTGCAAACAAGATGAACACACACACCTACTCCAATGCCAGCACAAACAAAATCAAACCAAAGAAAACAGCCATAAACATGTATAAACAACCGGTACAGAAACAAATTGAAATGGAACAAACACAAAAAATCACTAAAACCTCATGCAAACCAAACCGTACAAACAGCACAAAATCAAACCAATGAAAACGAAATCAAACAAATACAAAGACATATGAACGCGGAAAAAAACGGAAACAGCTCGAACACTCAAACCAAAACAGAACAAAGCACATGGAAGACATGCATAAGCAGGAAAAGAACACAATTATATAAAAAAAGTGCATAGATATTACTTATATTTTTAAAACGTCATTCCTTTAGATTTAGAACGTTAGAAAATTACCTAAGCTACTAAATTAGTTTATTACGTTATTTTTATCGTCTTTATATCAAATACAACCAGGTTTATATCAATGCCTGAAAAAATCCATATTTTGATGATTTCTAATTTAACAATTTATTTTGCTTTTGAAGGTTTGTTCCATGGAAAATACAATTGAGAATTGTGATAGTACAGAGGTATGCAATCCAGTACTGCAGTGTAATGTCTGCTCTTCAAGACTAAAAAAGCCAAGAACTTTGCCTTGCACTCACTCGTTCTGCCATGATTGCCTTGAGAATAATTGCCTAGGCAAGACTAAATGTACCTTATGCTGTCCAACATGCCAGTTAGTTGTCGTGGTTCCAGACGGTGGTCTAGAACATTTGCAAGCTAACCAGATGATCAGTACTTTGCTATCGGAAGTCCAGAATTCAGAACAACAAATGCATCCTCTTTGTATTGTATGTGATGTGAATGCTAGTCATCACTGCCAACAATGTGATGCCTTTATCTGTATAAAATGCTCTGCAGCACATCTCAAGCTACCTGCCACTAAAGATCACACTCAAATCTCTTTGACAGAGTATAACACTAAGGATCCAAGAGAAAGAATGGCAGCGGCAGTAGTCATGTGTAAGGAGCATGATAGTCCATCACAGTTTTTCTGCAACAGCTGTCACAAACTAGTTTGTGTTGGATGCACCCTGGTGGATCATCCGAAAGGAAGTGGACATGAGATCATAGATCTTAGCTCCGCCTTTGAATCTTTCTGCACAGCCACTGAACCAATGATCAGTGAATGTGAAAAACTAGAGAAACAGTTGAGCTCTGCAATGAACGAGATAAAGCCAATGCTTCAAATTGGGCATCAGCTTCGATATAAGTGTAGAGAGTCGATCCAGGCATATGTTGCAAAATTAAGGGCAGCTTTGGACAAACTACAAGAAAAACTGTTACTTGAAGTGGACGACTTAACCACTGCAAAACAAATGGCCATTGACAGCCAATTAAGTTTTTTTCAAAAAGAACTTGAAGATGTCAAAGGAACCAGGCTTCTTGCTAACCAGTTAATCACAAGCCCGAACAAAGCGCTGGCTCTCACATCGACCCTCGATGTATCCAAACATCTCAAAGATATTCTGGAAAAATCGCCACCAACCTCAAACTTTGTAAAAAAACTGATGTTCATACCATGTGAAGATCTCTTAGAAGTGATTCTGGAGAAAGGAATTGGGTTTTTAAAGGAAACAGAAGAGTCAGAATCTGAAGTAAAAGAATGTAATGATAAAATAATGGAGCTCTACACATGCTAATGCAGTATTTGCAATGCTAATGCAGTATTTGCAATGCTAATGCAGTATTTGCAATTCAGGCTCTGGATTTATAGGTCGTGAGCTCGAATCCCATTTTATCTGTATTATATATTTATATATCACTTGTTGTTCTGAAGCGAAGTTGTTTCTAATCTGATAAAATGCAACAAATCATTCTACTTAGAACTGCAGTTAAATTCACAGTCTTATTATTATTATTGTAGTTTGCCAATTATACGTATTTATCCTGTCTTAAAAATTAAACAGGGGGCGCACTAATGGACCTTTTCGTTAAGTCCCACCACTTGGATGTTATTGCTAAGATCCCACTAAAATATTATATTGTTGGCGTACGTAACACGTGCGTTTGTGGGACGCACGTGTGTTTGTGGGACAAGTGCGTATTAGCGATATTTTGATTGGTTTGATTGACACTCCGGGAAAGTCAATTTCATGCTCAATGTGCAGCATTTTTACTAAGATATTGTACGCAATGACAATCAGTACTGACTTATTTATTATGCATGATCAAATCTGAATACATTTAACCTGGATATTCTCTGAATAAGCCCTGACTAATTTGCAGAATATGTAGGCCTATTATTGTAAGAATTTGCTATTTTGGCTCAACACAGATTCAGCATTTACTATTTGGAAATTCTTCTTACAGCACAGCATATTCATGGTTGTGTACTGAAATTGAAGAATTGTCTCCAAAGTTCTCAGTGACCATAATATCACCTTTTCCTAAACATAACCATATTGGTTTATAAAAGTAAATTGCCTAATTAAGGAAAAGCAATACAATACAGTAGGCATATTTTAAGTGCCTTGTAGATTGCTTGTAGGTTGCATTTTTGTTTATCAAACAAATGTATATTTTATAGTTTATGAAATGGTTATAGGTTAAATAAATTGTTATATGTTGTTATGTATTTTAAGGCTTATATTATTAGTTTGGCTTATTCGTTGTAATTACTGTTTAAGTGTTGAATTTAAATATGGATTTTTAATGTTAATTCTGTGATAGAAGCAGTCATCATGATAGAGAATTTAGTAAAATTGATAAATTAATTTTAAATTATCTATAACAAATGTAAACATTGGACTTCTCTGAAGTTTCAATCAAACTTAATAACTGGCCGTGGTAAATTAATAGCCAAGATATATAACACGACAGCTTAAAACATATGTAAACTTGATTCTGGGACATCAAAAATCAAGTTCAAGTTTTTTTGGGACTTTAGAAACAATATCAGAATGCTGGGCTATCGTAGAAATGTCCAGTGTATTGTGTAAATTGAAGCATTATGTGTCCATACTGTTTTCTGGAGGTGTGTGAAACAGCAGCAAAGCTGTATATTTCCAATTGATAGATCTGGTTTTGAACTGATGTTGAATATTGAAAACTTTTTTTTTTTTTTTTTTTTTTTGCAAGTACTCTACTTATTTCTTTGTTGTAAAATTATGGGTGAAGATTTTTTGAGCACACTAGCTTCTGTGTTCGGGTTTATGATTATTGTGTTGCTTCGGGATGGGCCGGTTGGTTCTGGATGGGAAATGTTCTCCATTCAGTGTAGTATAAGTTGGTAACTAGTAGATTTTAATGCCAATGGCTGACAACTGTATAAATTATTGAATTACATTGCTCTCCTGAGACCTGAATTGTTTCATGTTTAATCCAATAATGACCAAGTTAATGTAAATTGCCCATTGGATTGGATTTATTTAGTGTAAACACCAAGAATAGCCCATGAATGTCTAGAAGACTTATTTCCAGTGGGGTCCTTCTGGTTGTGATTGGGCAGTACACCGTGAGACAATCCCCTTACTCTTTTCCGAAGAGTGACGGCGTTCTTTAACGTGCACATGGACCAAAAATGCACACGGGACCAAGACGATGCGCTACTGTAACTTGTATTTAGTCCTCAAGCTGAAACACAAGGACAGGCAGCGATGGGAATTGAACTGGGGACGTAGAGATCTTCACGGTTCAGCGCACACACAGTAGCTACCACCAGATTAGCAGGCTGATTTAAGCTCCTCTCAAATGGCCCTCGCAATAATACGTTCTATAAGAATGATATTATCATTATCTAATAGAAAGATTATACGTTAAGAAAACATTTGTTTATTAAATATTAATGCTTTTGAAATTGATTATAAATGGGGTTTAATTAATTATCTTGTAAATTAACGTTTTAATTAGTAAAATGATAAGCCAACCCAATATATTATTACTTACCAACACTTTGACTAATGTATTAAAATTATTATTAATTTGCTTGCACCTATGATTATCTTATCACTAAGCGCATCCAGTGGTGGAGAAAGGGCCACTCGCCTATCCAGCAGCAGCAACAGTAATCTTCTAACCAAAGTGTCGTTAATAGGGCCTATTGCTAATAGGCGGAAACTCGGTGAAAAATCTGGACTTCCACAATACAAACATTATGAATACATTGCAGATTTGCTTCACTGAAAGACTTCACCGAAAATAGGAGGCGAATTGTTCATGCTCAATCGCTGTCACTTACTGTATTATTACCTTTGATATCTGACAACAATCACACGCTGTAGGACTAAGGTGGTTTTGAAAACTATAAAGCAATTGAAATCAATGCACGCTAGTTTTTGTTTGAAATTGTGAAACTTAATCAACATTCTATTGTCCAAATACTTCTGTATCATCGAGTTATTTTTTGACATACCATCATGAATAGATTTCAGATCTGCTTCAATGCAATTAGGATGATTTGCTCGATTTTATTGTCACTATTTTTACCTTTTGCCACAACAGGACCAAACAGCACACGCACGTTTTTGTTCGGCTGTATAATCGTGAATTAGTTCATATAATGTTGACATGCACCATGAATACATTTCAGATCTGCTTCACTGAAATCTGGATGACTTATTGCCTTTTTGCTTTACAGAATTTTCACATTTTCCCACAAGCCAAACATGCTGCGTGTCCTTGTCCGATATCCAAATATATTATCTTTTGTTATATATGTCTTCATTGGGTTCACTCAAGTTCACTTTAAGACCTGAAAATTATATATATATATATAT